CCGCCCCTCGTTGGTGATGGGCCGCGGGGGGGGGGGGGGCGCCTCGGGACCTCGTCCCAGGGCAGCCGTCGGGAACCAGGAGATTCGCTTAGAGCCACCGCTGGTCCTGCATGGTGGCAAGCCAGCAGGCCCCTCACAGGCTGGAAACAGGGTGGCTCTCCCAGGGAGGGCCCGTGCTCCTGGCTCTGCTGCGTTCATCTTATTCTGGGGTGGTGCTGCAGCACAGACCCCTCAGTCACCACCGGGGCCTCACCGGGGCCCACCTGCTCTTCCCTCCTGGTGCCACCATGGATACTATGGCCCTGACCCCCAGGAGCTCTGCAATCAGGGAGCAGAGGTCAGTGTCTCTGAGGTGGAAGCTCTTTAGGTCACATTCGCCGGCCAGGCACTGCGGGGTAACCGCGGGCTGTGTGTGCTCCCAGGTGCCCCTCGCTGTGCCCACGCTCCACGGACCAGCCCTTCCTTCCACGCACCGACACGCCCGCTTTAATGTTTCCTGAACAATCTCCTCGTCCAATTCAACGGCCCATCTCTGAAGCTCCATTCCCTTCCTGGCCTACAGCTGTGCCTGCCTGTGAGATACCAGGGACGGGACAGGCTCAAGGCCCAGCGGGAGGTGGTGCTACCTGGTCGAAGCCCCGGAGGGGGATGCTTCGCATCATGACGGTGGTATCCAGTCCGATCCCGGTGAGGAAGCCAGCGCACTCCAGGGCCACGTCTGCGGGGGGCAGCTCAGGAAGGCTCACAGATCGCAAATTTGGGACAAAGGGACAAGACTCCAGGGCCCTATGCTGGCAGCCCACACCCTAACCTGACCACAGACAGCTGTAGAGGAGACTCCCCCGTCCCAGACCTAACTCGGCCCAGTGAGTGGGTGGCACCAGCCCGAGCAGGGGTCCCTCCCAGCTGCCCACGTCCAGGCAGCCGCTGCCTCCACGGGTGACTGCCTGGCTCTGGACTTTAGCCCAGTGGCCTGGTGGGGGCTGAGCCGTGGTGGAGGGCGCCCGTCTGTGGACCACACAGCGGCTGCCCGGTCTGCTGCCTTCAGTGCAGCTCTGGGGCTCCCTCAGATGCCCGGGCCTTCTATGGCTGGGGCTTTCCCCCCCCCCGAGCCCC